TGGAAGGTTGGTGGTTCAATCCCTGGCTGGATTTAACCATTGTCAGAATTTAAAGACATTGAACTCCAAGTTGCTGAGTCACTGTTAGATATAAAGAACTTAGACAAAAACAAAGTGTTTATGTGAATGGCTTTGAATGGGTGAATGAGACATGATTCAAACACTTTGAGTAGTCGAGTTTTTTAAAAAAAAAAAAAAAAAAAAAAAAGAAAAAAAAGGCACTATACAAGAACGAGTCCATTATTGAGAAACACTCTAGAGAAAAACTATATTCTCTTGCTGGCAAGTAGTTGCTGGCCTTTGCTTTGTGAATTCAGTCCCAATGGGCGATTGCCAGGGTGTTGGCGACTGGTCTCTAGGTCTACTTGACTGATGCCTGAAACTAATGCTATCGAAGTAATTCTATCATGATCTTTTTTGCATCATAAAAACATGTTTTTCTGTTTTTAAGTCAGTCCTCATTGAATTTGTCCACAATATGTATCAAAGGTCTAGAGTAACCAGATGCTTAAATCAAACCCTCTCTACAACAGCTACCACAAAAGTGAACATTATAGAGTTCATGAAGGAACATGTTTTGCAGGGGTATTGAAGTTATGCCTAATTAGAATGGCGTACACTGGGAAGTAACAGTTCATGCTGAACAAATACTGTACTGATGCTTCCTGCTTCACTCGTAGTTTCAATACATGAACTAAACTATTTTTATTTATCTAATCAAAGAGCTAACATTAAAGATGTCACCTAGATTTGTTTGGCAATTTTAATTAGGACTGCTCCCGTTTACTCACCGAGCTGTCCGATGAGGTTAAGCAGCACAAAGCATGTAGCGAGAAAGTAGCCACAGTTCCAGGTTGCCTCAATGTAGTCTCGCTGCTCATTCCACTGGAACCACATGCGGATGCCATCTTCGAGGAAGGTGCTGATGAGACACAGACGAGCCAGGTGGGGCAGGTACTGTTTGGTTACCCGCAGGAACTGGGAAAGAGAGGAAAAATGACTGACAAGGTCTGAAGAGGGATGGAAAGAGGTCATTTTGATTATGCTATATTATATAAATATAATTCAATGTCACCAAGCCTTAAAATCCACTAAAAAGTTCCCTAAAGGCTCTTTAAATAAATATATACTTACCTGCTAACAGTCAAACACACCACTGTGCAGGAGATGCCACTGTCTAATTAGAGCTGCGCAATTGAATTTCATCTGGGCATGGTTATTATAATAAGATAATCAAGACAAAATATTTATTGTGCCACATAAGATTTTGTCCCCTCCAGACTGTGGAAGGTTGTAATTTTTTTTTAAAGATTAGTGTGATAGTATGCCAAAAAATCACTAGCAATATTTTTCTATAATCAGCACTCCAAAAAAACATTAAATAAAAGATGAAGATGTTACACTCTATATCAGGGTTGGGCAATCAATTATCTCAAGGGGCTATGTGAGAAACTGGGACTGGTTTGAAGCGCCACACAAATAAATTTAAACAAAACACAAATTAAGTAACTGAGGCTCTTCTCTCAAGAAGAAATCATGTACTTCTCAGACACTACAGTCACACAGGAGAGCAGAAATGGCCTGCCCTCTGGCCCGCCTATTCAGCAGTCCACATCAGCACAGTCAGATCTCAGCAGCCTATCAGCATCCACCAACTCTCACTCTGACTGCTGTGCGAGACATGAATGGGCCAACTTGGAGCCAATCCTAACAAGCCCAAAGGTTGCTGCAACAGCACAGAAATACACTATTTCGAAGTGTTAAGTCTGAGTAAAATGCTAGCTCAGTACTCATTAGTGAGGGATGTTCCCCTTGCATTGAGCTTCAGTGAGCCTCCTGAGAGGCAAACAAATCAGATGGTGTGTACTTTTCCCATGTAATCTTTCACAGCACTCGTGATGGCCAAATATAAATCAATCAGGGAAATTAGGGAACATTTTCTGGGATTTGGACTGAGTTCAGTCAACACGAAGGGTCGTAAACGTATGCAGAACTGGCTCCATGATATTTGATTACTTTGAGCTCCTTTATCTGTGCTCTGCTTTGCAAAAACATGAGATCAGTAACCTACAGCACAGAGAGCTCAACGTTTTGAAGGAACAAGGAAGATATAAAACCACATACGTGAGAGGACGGTCCCCAGTGGTTGCAAAACAAGGGTGAAGAGGCTACCTGAACGCTTATCTTGGCATCAGCTCATGCCAAGTTGGTTGTAATCACATAAATATAAATAACAGAAAAGCCAAAGCAAGGTATAGAAGCACAGATGCGGTTGGTGTAATAGAGAAAATATCAGCGATGCTAAGCACTAAGAGTGCTAACTGAGTAACGTGTTAGGGTTAGCCCACAACTTTGGAGCCATCATAAGTGATTTCACAACAGCAGTCTGGCAACATAATAATGTTAATAACCCGTATGGCTAGAAGCAAGCCGAATAACTGACACAATGAAGGAACAACCAAATGTGCTCCTGTCACCCAGCTCTTTTTTAGTCAATTTAGCTACCAGTTTCATCTGGTCGGTGTGACTCAATATTGCTATCAAACCCATCCCGACACACATGACAGGCATCTCCAGCATTTGTCACCCAAATTAAAACAAGAGTTGAAGCCGTCGGCAGGAACGCAGAAAGAGTAGCCGACAGACAACAAGAGGAAACGGTTAACTTCATTCTGCACAAACTAGTTAGCAGCTAACCTGCTAGCAGCGGTTAGCAGTGCGAGCTGCCGTGCGGGGAAAAAATCAAGTTACCTGGTCTGCCACGTCTTCAGCGGTGTTCATAAGATCCTCCTGCCCCATATTCGTGTAATATTACCAGCTGTAATGTTTAAGGCTCGGCGCAACACGGCTTCGGTGCGTTGGTTTTTTTCCGCAAGCTGCGCTCGCTCTGTTCCTGCCACTGTTAACGTTATTTACTTGAAGATTTCCCGACTGCCTGGACTCAGAGAAAGGCCGCCTCCGCCCCACAATGCCCCGCGATTTGACGAGCGAGACGGAGCGAGCCCCCCTACATGGCACTGCAACCGCGGTGTGCCACGTATACCGATCCGTACGGGGTCCTCCGCGCCGCCGCTGGGCATTGTTTACGGCTGTACACAAGTAAACAAGCGCTGCTTTACAGCCCCAAACCCACCTGATGTTAATATCACTATAACCTGTTAGTTAGACCGTTTCCCTTAGACAGTCATACCTCTGTGCTTTTAAAATTTCTTTCTGATAATTAATCTTTTAGAGATATGATTATAGTTTATATGTAAACTGTCTAATAGGGTCTGTAAAAAGATAACATATTTAAAATACTTCTAATCTAGACAATATAAGCTGAGTTAAACAATTCTATTACACTTAATTTCAACACTGAGCACAGTTTCAGTAACCGCCAGAGAAATTATATTTAAACCAATTTGTTTAGTAGATAATTAAAAGAAAAACAATAATATATATTGGGATTTTTTGTTTTATTTTGTTTTCAGATGTTCTGCCGTATTTTCAGGCACCAGGAGGCACCCGAACAAACTGATGCAGTTCTGGATATAAATTTGACAGGTCTGTAAAAGACCATTTTAGTTTAGGCATAATCTAGTGGCTTTAAACGCTATTTAATTAGTGAGATCATACAGTGAGCCGTCATCTCCCGTGAGATATTAACGGTCACGTATGGTAAAGTTGTGGTCAGAGGTTTACATACACTCATGATGAGCATGAATGTCATGGGAAGTTTTGTTTTTGATCTCTTTGAACTACTTTTTACCCAGAGTGGAATTAATGTATGTACAGCATACATCTTCAATATTTTTCTTAAAAGAAAAAACCAAGAAATGGCTGCACAAGTTTGAATTTATTTGGGATTTTTTTCTGCTAAATATACAGGCAGAATACGTGTGTGTAAATCTACAGCTGTCCTTCTTAGACCTTCACCGAGCTCCTTGGACATTCCCATTGTTCTGAGTATTGGTTAAATCCAGTGAATGTCAAAGAAATCCTCCTTATTCAGATGCTACCAGTTTTAGTCCATCATGATCACTAAACAGATGAACCTTTAGTACCACTTATTTCAATACTATTAACTGACTTTATGAATCTAATTGAGCCTGTATGTATACCCCTGTGTGGTATACAGCCCTATGTGGATTAGAGAAAATCCAAAACAAATTCGAACTTGTTTACCTAACTCAAGTCCTCGATGAATATATGTAAACTTTGGACCATGACTTTAGATGTACATATAAGGTTCAAATTACTTTATTTACACTAAGATTACAGCAGATCAGCCATGCCTTCGACAAATCACAGTAGTATTAGCCACTGAACAAAGGCACCATCGTTACAGAAACAATCAGTTTCAATCAAGTTCTCTGAATTTCACTGTACGGACAATGGCTGACAGGCAGCTGTCCTGGTGAATGAGATCATATGCAAGAGACTTACGATTATGAATTTTCAACATCTTTGGGTGATAATACACCTGTGTGGCTCATCGATAACCAGATTCCCAACCTTCAGTACCACAGTACAGAGGGAAATTAACAATAAGACCCCTGATTCTTTGCTATTAAATTTTGTAAAAACTCTAAAACTAAACTGTACATTAAATGAGACAGATTAATAAGCAATAACTTATTGCGGTGCTCCATATAGAGCAACAACAGTCCATCATTGGTGAAGCTTATTGCAGCACTAGAACAAGATCTGTTCTCGCTTCCTTAAAAGTCATATAAACAACTGTGACCGAAAATGTTTCATTTTCCATCTTTAGCTGCAAATCTGTGTTGAAGAAAAGTTTGCATCCTCAGTGCACAACAACCAGTAAAATCAGATCTCGATGGTCAGATAAATCTCTGTTTTCGTGGAAAAGATGCAGATGTGTTGTGTGTAGTTGCTGAAGTTTGTCGTATGATATCAAGTTGGAAACCTAACAGAATAATTTGAAGCATTTTTTAGGTTAAAAATTGGAGTAAATGTTTTTTGTTTTTTTTTAAAAAAAAGACAGACAGTTCTTGCAAATTCAAACAGAGTTATATTATACACTAGTGCAGTTAAATGCAAACCAGAAAACACACTTTATCCAGTCCAAAGCAACTTTTAAACACATTTTCTATGCGTCATGTAAATCAGCCTTTGTGGGACCAGTAGAGCTCAGGAACCAAAAACATCCTCACGTAATAGATGTTGAAGGGTCACAGGCTAATTCTGACACAGGAATAACACTTCAAACTAGATGTCGTGGCAGGGTATATAAAAATACTCTTCATATGGGGGTTTGGATTTTACTTTCCATTTTGGGCTTTTCTGTGTTTCTTTTTCATTTTGCTTGATCTCCAGCTGTTATTTCTTTGTTTCTTATGAAATCCACCACCCTGAGCCTGAAAGAGAAAAAGACAAATAGCATAAACAGCATGAAAGCATGGACCCATGCTGCCTCAACAGTTCAGGCTGGTGGTGGTGTAGGAAATTTACTATGCACACTATGGGCCCCATAGGACAAATTAAGCACCACGCTAACCATGCCCACCCCTTTATGACCACAGTGTACCCATCTTCTGATGGCTGATTTCAGCAGGATAACAAACCACATCACAAAGCTGCAATCATTTTAAACTGGTTTTCTAAACATGACAATGAGTTCACTGTACTCAAACCGCCTCCAAAGTCACCAGATCTCAACCCAACAGAGCATCTTTGGAACTTGGTTGACCAGAACATTCACATCACAAATGTGCAGCAACTATGTGATGCTATCATGTCAAGATGGACAAAAATCACTGAGGAAGGTTTCCGGCACATTGAGAATCTATACCATGAACAATTAAGGCCGTTCCAAAGGCAAAAGGGGAATAAACTCGGTAAGTGTACCTAATAAAGTGTCAGGCGAGTGTATATTATTCCACAGACCTTTTTGCGTTTCTGCACCACCTGCTTTTCAACCTCCATTTCTTCATCCTCATCTGTCTGAAAGTCATCTTCCTCCTCTTTCTTTCCGTCCTCCATGCTTTCTTCTGCTTGGTTTTTCAAAGTGAAAATGGAGGCTGTGGACAAATACATGGTGTTACAGAGCAGTAAAACAGGCCCACTGCAAGAGTTTCACTAATCTGTGGTGTTATATGTGGATTCAATGGAGAACCAGTCATGTAAAACTCGACAATTATCATGACTAATATTGGTTCTTCTGATGGACAGTGTGCTTCTCCTGAAATCAGTGGTCAAATGAATCTAATGTGTGTAGATGGGAGATACTGACGGGGGTAGAGGTCGCTCATGCTGTCCTCAGAGTCACTATGACCGTCATCACTGGATGAGGGTTCCCACGTGCTGCTTGAATGCTTGGAAAGGTTTCCTCGACCGCCCTCCTCTTCAGTGGCTCTGGGCCTTTTCTGCGTCAGTCTGGTTGGAACGAATTCAATCCCCTGCTTCACACATTCTTCATCTAGAGAAGGCATAAGGCAGTTGTGTTAGCCATCACATTCACAGTGTAACTATACAACAACCCATACCCTCAGTGTTTTATGCATACTCATATATCAAGTCTGTATTTACTGACATTTTCTCACCTTCTGATTATTTATTTATGTAACAAATGACAGATTGTGGTATTGTTTCCTTCCCGTTATGCAATTTAAACTTTGATTCTTTGCAGAAAAATAGAATTAGCCGAATCTTACTACTGTAAGCTCACCAAAAAATAATAATTAAAGAAATTGCCAAATATGTCAGACTACATTGGTCTGAGCAAATTAAGCACGATTGGTATCTGCAAAAAAGTGATAAGAAATGAATAAGCTCATCAGATAGCCATCCCTCACGAACGAAAACAAAGCTATCACACAAGAAGTCTGACTCCTGAGATGAGTAACATCCAGAGTGTTTACACTACAGGAGAGGTGCACATGGAGAGATAAGTGATGCACTGACATTTAGAGAGGGCTTTCTTGAAGCGTTTTCCGTTGACGTGTCTTAAGACGTGGTGCGGCTGCCGGTTGAGATGTCGAAGGGTCAGCTTACAGAAGAGCTGATTGCTAGAGCACAAACAAAATACATACATTACATCAGAGAATGCACTTTGATCTATATGGCATCAGAAAATTACTCAGCTGTAGTTACTAAAATCACTTGTTGGGCAAGCAAACATGTCCTTACGGTTGCTTTGTGCTTGGTACGATGTGTGGCTCATACTGGCTGTAGTTGAACTCTGCTGCAGCACTCAGTTTCTCATATTTCTTCCCCTCAGTGAACTTCTGCAGCTCGGCCAATTTGCAGGGAATCTCGTGGCCATTTAGAGTACATTTGATCTGAAAAAGTACAAAATCGAAGGTATGAATAGGGTGTTTTTATTGCCGTTAATGTTTTGGTCAGCAGAGGTTGGTGGATCCATCCAAAAATCGCTAGCATTGATACCAACACTGGTACTGACACGAGTGCAAAATGATCGATACTTTGTTTCTATCCTCTAAGATCAGTATGTAGCTCAGTGTTAAATTGATGATAATTCTTATCGTAAATCACTACACGCTGCTCTCCCTGGGATAAGCTGCCTTTATAAGTTCCAAGTATCGGCGATACCGGTGTCGTGCCAAAGTAAGTATCCCCGACAGAATTTGTTTCCCCTGTGCTGGGAGCACGCAGCAAGTACTGATGTTTTCATTTTGTGAAAAAGTGAAAAATTAGTATCATTACATTACCATTCAGTTTGAGGGTTACAACAGAAAATTATATAATGCGTCATAATAAGAAGTGTTTGGGAACAAAAAATCAACAATGTGGGATACTATTTGTCCGTGATTTGGACAGTCCAGCGTGTGCTCCCGATGCAGGGGAAACAAATTCTGTCGGGGATACCTAGTTTGGCACGACACCGGCTCTGTATTAACTTGTTATCTGATTGACACCATAAATGGCAGTATTGCACACCGCTGTCGAGCACTCTTTAGCAATCACAACATCTGAACACCTGGCTCGTGCTAGATCAATTTGCAAGTTAGCATCACGTTCGACATCAGCTCACACGAAGTGCACGTGTGACGTGGAGAAATCTGCTCGCTAACCTTTTTACCGACTGTGGGCTGAAGAAAGGGGTGATTCAGGAGAAACTCTCTTAGGTCCGCAGGTAACTCATCCATAGTTTAGAAACACTTCAAAACAGCTCGTTCAGCGTGTTGACGAGGACGACGCTTCAACAAGGAAGCTCCCAAACACGTGGGTTGACTGCGCAGACTCTGTTGTGTGATCTTGGCGCCATCCAGCGATCAAATCAAGTAAAACCCGTCTTACACGAAGTTAGCCATTCACCTCTCTCATTTGGCATCAGGCGATCCTTTTATCGAACCACCGGTGTGATTAAACAAAAGCAGACAATTGTCTGCAAGAAATAATGTCCACGGTCCTTGATATACTCCCCTCCCCCTTTTTTGCTACCTTTAAGAAACTAAACCTTAATCGGCTTAAGTAAGACATGACAACAGAGCCCAGTCAGCTGACTGCCACCATCTGACAGGTCTGAGAGCATTACGGAAGACAGACAGCCCACTCTGCTTGGATTTCATAAAACTACAGAGTAGCCGGCATATGAGCGCATGCGTGAGCTTTGAATTAAAGTTCATAAACCAGTAAAGTAAACACCTGTAAAAGTAAATAAAACTATTTTATAAATCTTCCTAGCATGGCTAGTTTAGCACATTTGTTTTACTCGACTAGTCACTAGAGACTGTGCACAGAGTGAGTCATCTCGCTTTGGAACTAAAACCACGCCCACATTTCTCCCACAATTCCCTGGTTCCGTAAACAAATATCGGAAGCTAGCTGTTTGAGGTGTCGTGCATACTGTGAATTAAAATCTGACGATAGAGCTAAAGTAGAACCCAGACATCGCTGTTGGTGTTACTTGCAATTACATTAAGAGCGTTTAGTAATGCTACCGAGCTAGCTGGCTAGCTTAATAGCATAACTGACGATATTTAAGGTTCCTACTGTTTCTTAAGTACACGTGAATATAAATATATATACATATATATAACAATGTCTGGACCAAATGGAGATCCAAACATCTCTCCGGACGATGGTATTATAAACGACGAAGATGATTTCGGCGAAGAAGGTAAAACAACAAAAGCTTTCATTGTAACTGATGTTAGCAATCATTAGAGCCGCTGGGCCGCTCCAGTGATTGTTAGAACAAACACTAGTTACTTTTTGGTTAATTGTAATTACGTATGCGGGTATTTGTGGGCGTGATTTAGATTTATGTAAAAAAGAAAATTAAGTCCGTCCTTAAAACTTTTGTATGAATCAATTGAGTAAACTAGCAGCCATGTTCAATAAAATGAAGCAACTCTAAAGATTCATGGGCCAAAGTTCCTCCAAAACAATGTAGGACACTGAGAAGGTCATACAGGAAACAGTGACTTCAGCAGAAGTCAAAAACTGTCAACTTTCATAGCATTATCCTGTCTTTCATTGATAACAATATAAATTAAATTTATATGATCAAAAACTGTTATACTCTTTATTTAGTCGTTCCTCTTTAAATTGCCAAACAAAGCAAACTAACCTATGCTGCTCGTCCACAGAGTACTCTGCCATCAACAACATGCTAGATCAGATCAACTCTTATCTCGATGACCTGGAGGAGCGGAACGACGCTCTTAATGGCAAACTGCACGAACTGATGGAGTCAAATCGGCAAGCTCGACTGGAATTCAGAGCCCAGTTGTTGGGCCCCCCAAAGGAGGAGGATGTGGAGGAGCACTGTCCCACAGCAGACGGGGAGTCCTCCTCAACCAGCAAGGAGGACATAAACGAGGATAAAGAAGGCTTGCAAATGAACGACATGAATATTTAGATCAGGAGGTTAAATTAAGGAAAAAGCCGGGATAGAAATATTATGAAAGTTGACTCAACTCCTGAAAGCTGTCATTTGGACTAGTGACCCTTTATCTTCATAGTCGACGCTCACATCAGCAGGCGTGTGCGATAGATTACATCTCCTCCTTTGCAGAGCTCATTCTGGTTTCTCCTTTGGCAATGTGCCGATGTTCTGGTAACTAACCTCAAACAGCTTCTCATGCAAGCTGGATGTTACATCAACTTCTTTAATTTCACTGCAGACTTTATAAATCTAAAGCCAGATGTGCCGCTTTGTATTGGGAAGACAAGGCTCAGGATTATGTGAGAGGTCACAAGGCCAAGTCCTAAAGCAAGAAAACGACTAAATATATATATTTTTAAAGTTGGTATTAAAACATGGTCTTTGATAAACAAGGTTCAAACTACAGGATCAACCTTAAATCTTTCCAGATTCTGGACCTAAATATTGTTTTGATACAGATGTCATATCAACAACTTCTCAAGCATTTGAGTCAGTCCTTGTTAAACAGAGAAAGACTCCACTTCCTCAAGTGTTTCATCGCATTATTAGCTTTGCAATTCCTATACCCTCCCAAAAAGTAAATAGGAAACATTGGACACTCATATGTATTATAATGCTTGTTGTGCATACTAACTGTAAACGCTGTGCTGTGTTCAGTGTCTGTTAAGTGTTTGCTGTAAAATCAAAAAAACGAAACATTGGAATTATGAGACATTTTTAATATAAATTAAGATGACTCCCAAACAGAAAACAAACATCCAAAAATACAATAAACTTCCAGCAGTTAGAAAACATCACCAGTTTGTTCATCTCAATTTGTCAGTAGCTGAATAAAAATACAATAAGAAACATACAGCTTTGTTTGAAGTCATCCTTTACATGCCCTTTTTTTTTGCCTCTCCGTTCTGTTTCGGAGCTTAAAAGCACAGATTAGATCACGTCTCCTTCATTCAGAGAGAATACAACACTAATCATGTGACAGTCGCTGACGTGACTACAAGGGTTGCTACGTGTGTCAGTCCTCTGTGGTTGATAATAGGTTTCTCTAAAACAGGGTGAAATGTTTCCAGAGCAGAGCGCTGGTTATGATGAAGGAAGTGCTGCTTCCTGTTTCACCCTCACCTGTGAGTAACACCTCTGGATAATCTACAGGACTCTTTGCTACATTTTAATTGATAGTTTTGTACTATCGCCCAACTGTGTTTCTATTCTTGGTACAGCAACTAAAATAAAATGATGGTAAACTGGAGTCAAATAAGCACCAACTTAAAACAATGACACTGGGCTGTGAATGCTTTTAAAAAGCATGAGTGGAAAACAATTGTTTTTATCTAAATGTAGCCTGCGCCATCGATTCTCACCTGGAAGCGACAGCACAGCGTTTAAACTGAAAAACAAGATGTAGACAAAGTGCATGCAGCCTTATGCAAACGAGAAGAATCGTCATTTAGATCAAGTGCCTTACTGCTAGAAGAGAAGCCCTTTATTTTTGGCTGCTGACGGCCTTTTAAAAATACACACACTCTTCACCGGACTATATTTTGACGACAGGTGTCCATTACCACATTCGGCTCTTACAAACTGCTTTCAGTGTGAAGGGAACCACTGCTGACTGCCTTGTTCTTTTTGTTGCCCAAAACATAATCAGCAACATCAAATTAAACCCAAAATCCCAGCCATTCATAAAAAAAGAAGATAAAATGCTGTGAACCAGGCTGTGATCAGATCCAAGATTCAGCTTTTTTTCTTCGCTCAGTCCATGTGCCACTAAGACCTGTTTGTGTTAAAACAAATGTTGACACCTGCTCAAGTATGCAGTGTGCTTACATTCTACATTTCACCATGTGCTATGTGTGATTAGCCAGTGTCTCCACTTTACCATCAGTCCAGTCTTTTATACTGGTAGGTTGTACTAACCATCAGTCACCTAGCTAGCCAGAGAATTAGCACAAAAAAAAAAAAAAAAGACAGAAAGAAAAAAAGCTGATAATGAGCCATCTAAGACTCCCGATTCTTGAGGACAACAGGGTGGAAAATTAGCACTTTAGCGAGCAGTCTTAATTTTAAATGTCACTGGAGGAATTCAGCTTAGGAAGAAAAGAGTAAAAACCAAAACAAAACTATGGATTCGTCTATATCTGCAAATTTGATTGTATATTTAAACTTCCATTTAGCTTTTTTTTTGCAACCAAGCAGCATTTCCTAATTCCAAACTACATCCTTCATGTATACAGTAAAAGTCACAATACCCTTTATTTTTTTTAGTTAGTATGCAAACAACACTATGTGCAGTTTTAATTCAGCACAGCAAATATTAGGTTTTAAATAATACAATGTCTGAACCAATGCACAGATTTGGAATGATAGAATAAAGCCAATTAAACTTCAATGGGCCATTATATCCAAAGATATATATATTTTATATATATTTTCCTGTCACCTGTTGAAGCAACAGCCTCTCTATGAATTTCTGTAGTAGTGTGACTACACAAATAAGCACAATCTGCTTAGTTGCAGTTTTCCAGAGACCAAAGTACGGGAATCAGTTCAAAGAGGGCATCAAATACAAGGATGTTCTCGTTGTTAAAAAAAAAAAAAAGGGGGAAAAAAAGGTCTATTTAGTTATTCTGATTATACTGATACTAAACACAAAAGCTTTAAGTTCAGTATCTACTTCATCTTTTTATTTTTGACTAGATGACTTTATAATAATGTGTAATCTGATAGTGATGGCTGACGCTGGCCCACATTTTCCAACTGAAAGCCAAAATTAAGAGCTTCGCCCGCAATTGTGTTAATTTCACACCCTGGGAGAGCGATTCACACGAGAAGTCCTGTTCCTCTGTGCATTTAATTCCAACTTTCCAGTCCGGTGAGGAGCTCGACCACAAACTCCTTGGTCTCTGTTCCATGGAAGCACCTCTTTAGTCACATCCTGTCAGTGGTTGTGATTGTACCTGTTTCTTTTCTGTGCACATCATTTCCTCATCGTCTGTTTGCCGCCCTTCCCGACCTGCGTCTGGGTGCTTTCCCCGCCCCAATCTTTTTCCCCTGGGTTGCAGGGGCTTCTTTCTCCTCCAACTCTTCATTGGCATCCTCTGCAGCGGCTGATGGCTCAGAGTCCATGTCCACACTACTGCTGGCGGGCACCTCAGCAGGGGATGTGTCCATGTTGCTAGTGATGGTTGCTGAGGTGGTAGACAAGTCCTCTGAGGTTGCCTCAGGTTCGGCCGGCTTTCCCTTTTCCTCGCCCCGTATCTGCATTTTAAGTTGGGTGAGCGTGACGACGGGCTGCAAGGATGTAAGGTTCATCGCTAAATCTGTGTCACCAGAGAGTAGATTTTTATCCGAACAGTCTGAGGCAGTTTCATTTATGTGCATGAGGCCGTCAGCAGGTTGGACAGATTCTCTTGAATCTTCAGCATCTTCACCTTTTCGACTCACCAAGGCTCTGTACCTCTGTGGGGGGAAAAAACCCAGCATAAAAATACTGGATTATGCCTCTAGATATACACTCATGCAGCTTGTTTCCCTGGCAGATTAATGTACACACTGGCCTTTTAAGAGCTCACATATGCCTAGATTAAGGCTGGAGTTATGCAATTAAAAAAAAATTAAAAACACAACTGAATGCAAATAGTAATGTTGTTATCTTTAAGCTTAAAACTTAAACCGACAAACCTTAAGATTCTCAAAGTGCTGCAGTGATTTGCAGTGGCCATGCAGGGCAGAAGACTCAAAGTTGTAAAACTTGTTGCAAAGCTTGCAGATAAAACCTGCGACTGGAACTAAAAAACTGGACCCTGTGACGAAGGAAATGAGAAACTAAACATCACAAAGATACTAAATATCAGAGAAGAGAAAGCAGGAGTGGAAAAAAAAACACAGGAGTGCCTCTCTCACCATAGACTGTGTCAGGGTTATACTGCTCATCACTGGACACGTCGTTTAGAGTCGCTTCTGAGGACCAGCCGTCCTGCATCAGTGAAATGTGTTACTGCAGAGATTATCTTAAACCAGTTCTGAACCAAGGGTTGTACATTTGCCAATCATCTCACTGAAGGAAATCACCAACAATAATTTATATGCAGCTCACCTCTCCATCTCCTTGATTACTCAATCCTTTCTCCTCCTCAGTCCCCTCCTCTGTTTCTATTGAAAAACCTTCTGTGCCCAATGAAGCAAGTTTGGCGAAGGCCTCACAATCTTTTTCCTGGAGCTAGAAACGAGAAAACTGAAGTGAGAATTTTACCTCATCTATGTATACAAACTCGATTAGTCTCTATATAGTTATGAATATAAATAGTTGTGAATATAAATGTATTGTATTGCATTTGGCAAAAGAAGCTTTTCTTTACTGGAACACTGGTGATTTTCCTTTGGGGAGGTCAAAACCTCTCTCATGTGTGCCAAAATTTTCTAAATAAAGAAACATCTTTTCCTCTGGGAAAACATTTGTTGATGTGTAAAAGAAAGAACAAAAGGATTTCTTTCCCCACCTTCTGTCTGTGCTCCTGGGACTGCAAGTGCTCCAAAAACATCTGGGAGTTCTTGAAGTGTTTCTTGCAGATGGCACAGGAGGACATGTCTGTTTTACTGGCAAGCTGAGGACACGGAGCAGAGCATTTTCAACACTACTCAAAATATTTTCTAATATTTCTTGAACTTTACTTTTGCGCTATGTTGTGAGAAACTGATGTACCCTGTGTTCCTCTGTGCGACGGTGGTCGGCGATGCTACTCGTGAAGTGTGTGAGACAGGTGGCACACCAGCGCTTCAAGTCTTTCTTCTCCCTGCAATGAACACAGGACATCCTTCGTAAGGGTTGCCCTCTACTTTCAAACTTAATATGACACACAGGAGGAAGGAGGTGGTCTCTGAAGGGGTTTAATTAAAACGTGCAAATATGCAACACCTTTTAAAGCTGCTATGCAATCTGAGATTGAGAAAGAAATCTGCATATAACTGACCCATCTTTGTTTGCTCCCTGTAGAGACTCCTGCACCCGAGGCAGCAGGGTGACGAGGCAGGCATTGCTCATGTGTTGGATCTCCATCATCCTCTGCTGGTGGGAAATGCTGTTCATATGACTCCTGAAGTTCTAGCACACAAAGGGAAGAACATTAATGACAAAAGAGTGGAGTTAAAATATTATTATTAATGCTCACCATTAACCTACTTGCTGGTTGTGGCAGGTGGTGCTGCAAAGATAACAGTAGAACTTGCTGGAGCCCTCTGCCACACCCTCCTCCTCTTCATCCTGGCTCTCAGGCAAAGCTACAGGGGCATCTTTGCTCTGTGAAGTTTCCTCTGCTGGTAAATTAGCCTGCCGGTCACCCTCACTAGGCCTGCCAGAGGGGGACGGGGCTGACGAACAGCTATGCACCTACAAAGAAGAACCAGGAGTGTTGAACTTTTATGAAAAATGTATAAAAATCAACAAGACTTTAGTTCTTTAGGTACATGAAAAACAATATGTTCTCTATGACCTGAACATCAAAAACAAAAGGCTCCTCTCACCTCACCAACTTTGGTCTCCTCAAGTGCGTCGACAACGTCTGATCCTGTTCTGGAGCCACTTTCTTCCAGAGCGATGCATTCTTGTGATAAAGAGACACCCAATAAGAGTTCACCTCGAAAGACCCCAACAATAACACAGTGTACTGTATAAAGGTCTTGAATCACCCCTCATTTCTTTTTATTTTGGTCAGGAAATGGGTGCAGTATTTTAACTGAAACGTGTACATATAGACATGAAAATGCAGTATATAAGGCAAGAACAGAGTTTGTACAACTCTAATGAGCCTGAAAGTCAATATTTGGTTTGAAAAATTTTATTCTTGAACACAACTCTCTTAGGCAGCTTTCTTGTAATTTCTTTTTTACCTTCAGGGTGGACATCCTCTGTGTTGCTGCTACACTCCGAGGAAAGAGCTTCCCCATCTATGTTTGCCGTAGTGACGGCCTCGGCAGCTCCCTGTTCTGTGGGCTTTTCCGAGCTGAGAAGACAAGAAAAAAGCATTTCTGTTTCACCATTTTTTTAATGCTATGAATTTCAAATAACTGAGTAAGAAAAAAAACACATTTATAAATTTGTTTTTTGCCTTCTTAAAACCGGTGAGAGGAAAAAAAACAAAACAAAACCCATTTCTTTCCTTTTTTGGTCAAATACAAGAAATTACATTTTCCAGAAATAGAGAGTGCAGTTTTCTAATACAGCCAGCAGCAATAAACTGGCTTTCCCCACCATTCTGTCCTCTTTTTCTTCACTGCAGGCTCTTCAAGTTGCTCTTCAGATAGTTGTGTTGGCCCATCCAGTCCTCCCGTAGCGCCATCTGTGGGTGAAAAACACAAACCAAAGGGAAAAAGAAAATATTTAACTTTGATATTCTTCAAGTACTTTGTACAAAAAGTTTAAATTCACATGACATTTAGCTAACACTATACCTCAGCTCCCATCCTAACTAATTACTATGTTTCTGATATGGATGAATTGCAGCTCTACCTGCTTGAGTCTTGCCATTAGCTCCAGTGGTACTGCTAGCTGCTGCTGGTTGCTCATCTGAGCTCCCTGCTGCCATCTGCTCACTGTCCCGCTTACGATCTGGCTGTCGATTTGCAGCATCCTACTCACAGAGACAGATCACATGAAAACTAGAAAATAATGATCCATCATAGCCGAAAAACTTTATGTACACAGTTTTTTTGAGGGATACATTCCTGAAACATTGTGTAAATATGTGCACTGACTCTATAGTGCACCTACTTATTTGTTGAGAATAAATGGAAATCCTGATTCTTATCATTTGTCACACATTCACACTGCTTACAACAAAGATAATTACACTAACACAAATAATCAAAAACATGCTGTACTGTCCAACCCTGATCACTCGGATGGTAATCTGAGCTCACTCAAAAACCCACACAATGAACACAGTAACTGCAATAGCGCTGTTATAAATACCGCGGAAGATGAAGAAGAGGAGGCAGAGGATGCTGAGGAGGCGGTGGTGTTGTTGTTGTTGAAGTAGCGGGGATGTGGGTGGAAGGGTCGTGCAGCTGGGAAACCCATGATGGGAGACTTGATAGCCATGCCCATGGGAACTGGCCCGAGCAGGGACGACCTGTTCCCTGCTGTGAAGAACTGCCGAAACTGCTGCCCACCCATCCCAAAGCCCCGCATGTTACCTGCACGCAAGTACAACAAGAAAGGAAAAAGTAAACTAATTATTATAAGGGCTTGCTTTAAATAAAAAAACAATATACATGAAAATGTCACGTGACATCTTCTGGTCTTTGAGATTTCCAGGTATTGCCATTTTTATGCTATTCACTCACACCGTACCCTGCATCTGCTGCATCAGTAAAGCACCCTGCAGCATGGGATTGGGGGCGATGATGGTCGTCTGCGAGGCATGGCTCAGGTTGACCATCCGGGGAGGGGGTGCTGTCTGGGGGGCAACAGGAATGGTTCTAGGAAAGAAATACACACAAGAAAGTAACATGTCTTATTATTTAAAAATTCACATCCTCACTCAAATCTGCAGCTAAAGGCAGAGTGTCTGGGGTAAATGACAAATCCATCAGAGCCATGGAAATGTTTTCCGCCTTCTTAACAACCTGAGAATTTATTTTACATGCATCCATCATACTAAAGCTGGCTTGACAGATTTTGCTGCCACCTTCGCTTATCCTCAGAATAAAGACGAGGAAAGAGAAGAAAATATTCAACCCGAATTTAAGTGAGGATTAAAAACTGAGAAATAAAAAGCTTCCTTCCAAAAAAGGTTGGGACACAAAAAAATGCATATAAAAAAACAAAACAAAAACAACATAATTTGCTTATTGTTTAAAACCCACATCTTATGGATAACTGCAGAAAGACAACATAAATAATGTTGAAAATGAGAAACTATGTTGCTTTTTTGAAGAATACGTGCTCTTAGTTTGATGTGTAGTGTAAAAGCCATGTGGTTGAACATCTCATAATTAATTACATTAAGTAGCAGCACGCCTGGATATAAAAATAACATGCCAGAACTTAACCAGTCTTTCATTTACAGTAAACAATATCATTAAAAAATTCTGAGAATCAGCCTAGCAAGATGGAGCACCGTTGCCTCACAGCAAGAAGGTCCTGGTTTTGAATCCTGTGGCGACTTGTCCAAGGTGTACCCCTCCTCTCGCCCTATGAGAGCTAGAATAGGCTCCAGCTCTCTCCAGCCCCCGAGAATCAAAGAAAATTTCCATGTACAACAGACTAGGCTAAAAACCAGTATTAACGGCCACAATCTTCAGAGTCTGGACTCAAAACAGACGCAATTATGTAGTGGAATCACTGCTTAAGCTCATGAACACTTGTGAAAACCACTGCCGATGAGAAACGTCTGCTGCTGAATTGACCAAATGCAATTTAAAACCTCACAATTTAAAGAAAAAAACCCCCAAAAAATAACAAAAATAACAACAACAACAACAACAACAACAACATATATTTATGAAAAAAAGATCCAAAATTATAAATGCCTTCTTTGAGCACCAGCTGACTTAACAGGAGACAAACAATACCAAACAATCTGCGGCAAGGTTTAGCAGACACAGAGACAAACATCATAGAGCTCAAATTCTTTATACACATTACTGACATCAAGTTAAATTTAAGGAGATATATATATATTTTAAAGGCTTATTTATATAGAACAGCTTTATCGCCTTTATATGGCTTTCACATCGGTGCACTGCGTTACAGTGAACAAGTAATTAGATTACCTGTAATGAAATTATAGGCTGGTTGACTGTGGAAGATGCAATAACAAATGTGATGTGATTTTTTTGTTATTGGTCTGAGGTCAGAAATCCTGCAGCAAACGCTTTATATAACGTGTAAAAGAGGGATAATAACACACAACCTTTGAGTAATCTAGATAACAATGGAAGGCAGCAGTCAAAATAAACATCAATACTGTCAGACCACTAATTAAATATCTGAAATGATAAATGTAGCCGTAACAGGTGTTGGGACGGGCAGTTAGCATACAGGTCATCCAGAGGGCCTTACATTATCCCCGGTCTTGAGTTAACAGGCTTACCGGGGTGTCTGGTGGTGATGGGCCACATGGTGTCCGGGAGGCGGCTGCGGCGGGGGAGGCGGAGGCTGCTGCTGCTGGAAAAGTTGCTGGAGTTGCCTCAGTTGCTGGTGAAACTGTTGCTGTTGCTGCTGATGGATGTGCGGATTGAACATCACGGGCTCTGATTTAATCCGTTACGTTGCAACGAGTTGTCAGAGCCGTCAATGTGTGGCACCTCTTAGGACAGAGGATCTCTTGTTGGGAGGAAGAAAAACGTGATTACTTGCTCTGCTATCAGACCAACTATTTGTTGTTAAGGCACACTTAATGACAGTGCGCACCTCCTGTGAGACAACAGGTCGCTCTCATATTTCATTATGACAACTAGCTAGCGTTAGCATAGGAGCTAACAATAATGAACTTTTTGGTTTGCTAAGTTTACTTTCATTTCCTCCACCATCCCGCTTCATACAGATAGCCGCATGTTAGCCGCTACGCTGTCAGAGAAAGCAGAATGGTACTCTAAATATGGCCACAATATCGAGCATATGTTGATAACTGAAGTGTAGCTACACCTTCCATAAAATGAACGAAGCTAACGCTACATTAGCCATAGCCGCTCAGTCACTGAACCAAACAAGTTAGCTTAGCATAGCATTCAACTAACTCAAAGACAAACCTCTCCTGTAGGGACTGCTTTGTCGTATTTACCTTCCTACAGCTGCCCCCAGAGACGTAAACCTCACCGGGTGTTAATTGTCAACGTAAAACCAAACCGAAGAGTTAAACACTCGCACTTTACAGCAACGGTGCAACTTGCACAAAAACTGAAGCCATAACCTCTGATCAAACCGGTGGACCGTGTCACCCCCTAGTGGCTGCCCGTAGAACTGAAAACGCATGATGGACGTAGAATGACCAGGCTTCGAAATGTCGTTTTTAATACATTTATTTATTTGTTGTTGTTGTTGTTGTTGTTGTTGGTTTTATACTGTGCAGTTATTATTTTATCTATTAGCTAATGCGACATAGTTAATAAAAATAAAGCTTTTTAGAGGTGAACATTAAATAGCAGAATACAACTTAGCACCTGTGGCACTGTTTACATTACTGTTAGTATGTCACGTTGGTTGTAGGTTGAGCTCATTATGTTTTTCAATCTAGCTATGTTGCAAATAACCACTGCTGAAAATTAATTTCTATAGGACAGTGTTCGCTTAGTCTTTCACTCTTTGTTTTTGGCTCTTGTTCTTCTAATATGTGTTTATGCAGTCATGTGTTTGTGTGTTTAATTGTGTAAATGTATACTTAATGTGTGATTGTAACCAACCACTGAAGCATTTTGTAACTGTATGTTAAAAAGAGCTGCACAAATAAAGTTGTTGTTATTATTAATATCATTATATTTAATGAAGTGTCAAAAAATAAGGTAATAAAATGTACATTTTCATAATTGAAACTGAGAGCAATCACAAATTTAAACACAACATAAATATAAAAGGGCATTCAAATTCGCTCAGGTGAGTTAAAAAACATTTATTTTAATATGAAAAATACTCTGTTTTTTTGTTTTCAGGTTGCAAATTATTTATGCGAGAGAAATCTACCAGTGTCACCACCTAGCGATGGGTGTGGAGTACTGCAGGGATCTCCTGGTAAAATACAAGAGCTCATCCTTCTCCTCCTCCCCCCTGCGGTGCTTGGAGAGGAGAGTGTTGGAGAGAGTGCTGGTTTGAGATGATCTGACACACCGAAGAGCACCGTAAATGAGGAAGCAGAGCGAGAAGTGAGCCGGCGAGTGCGCGCAGACTAGAACGCCCTCTGAACGCTCTGAGGGGGCGAGGAGGGGCGCAGAGGAAGATAAAGCCATAGATCCGTCCCTGTTCTGTCAAGGAAGCTAGTCCATCATCCTCTCGCAAAGATGGGGAACCGGGGAATGGAGGATTTGATTCCTCTGGTGAACCGCATGCAGGATGCTTTCTCGGCCATTGGGCAAAACGCAAACCTGGACCTGCCGCAGATCGCCGTGGTGGGAGGACAGAGCGCCGGGAAGAGCTCGGTGCTGGAGAACTTCGTCGGGAAGTAAGTAGGCTTTTCCAGGCTGTAGTGGATGCTGGCGCGCCTCCGATACACCGCGCAAGAAGGAGCTCTTACATCTAAGTCCCCATCCCCCCCGGCCAGGTTTAAATACACAAAGCCTTCACTTAGACCCGAAAGCTTCAAATTAAACGCGCATTCAACGCACTTTCTGTCGTTTTAAAGCCTCGAGCACACCGTGAGGCAGATTATTTTGTTAGGCCTTCATAAATCCCCAGAGTAGTTTATCTGTTAACTACCTTGTGATGCATTCAAGAACCACATATTCAAGTTACTATGATCTTGTTATGATCTTGTTATGATCCTCGTGCTTGATGTAAGTTTTCAAACGTGCCCGATTTGTTGTTGAACGACTTCGGTTAAAGGAAAATTTTCATTGTAAATCCACTGACATCTGTGACAAAGGTAGGGTTAGTTTGGAAGCTGACTTCCTGTGCAGCATGCACTGTCACAGCTTGCTTGGTGGAGGTGTTGTTTCTGTAGCAAGGCTCCCATTTTGTTGCCCAAAGGCTATTTAATCCTGAGCAGGGAAGAGTGCAGGATGATGCCCGCTGTGTGTATGTGTCAGTGAAGAGGCTTTAGCCTCGCAAACATGCAAGGCTTTTTCATTCTGCCACAACTGCTGTGCTGATGATACAAAACACAGGAAGGGAACAGAATCTGGAGTATGCAAGGCTGCTGTGTGACCTTGCACACACACACACACACACACACACACACACACACACACACACACACACACAGAATGAGAGTCCACCTGAGCTTTGAGCCCTTCCAGCTCAGCTCATCCATCTGTCTGCCCGTGCTTATAATGCTGTAAATGAAGCTTACTGCATGCAGACAGCACTGATGGTGCTTCTATCTGTCAGTCTGCTCCTGCTTTCTTGTATTTCGCTGGATCTGAAGATTTTTTTTAATGGGTTCAAAGATGCGCCCCACACACACACACATACACTGTGTGATTCAGCAGTATTTCCTGCTTAAGCAAGGGCATAGTGTATGCACACTGTGGCTCCGAGCCAGCTCACCCCAACATTCAACAAGGCCTTGGTATTCCAAGACAAAATACCATCTATCCCACTGGACACAGAAGGAAAGGATCCATCTGTTAGCCATAGCTCTGTAGGTCTACCTAGTTCACCACATGACCTCTATAATCCCCATCTTAAATGGTAGTAGGTGAGGCTGATCTGCTGTTTACCCGTAAGTGTACTCTACACCGTACCTGCTGTAAAAATAAAGGAATTCATTACAAAAACGTTCAGATGTTTCTGAATAAAGGTGAGAACATGCAGTTATATATGGAGATTACAGTTGGAACAGTAAAATAACAGTACAAAAGCAACCGGTGCTGACACTAGTATACTGCAAAGCATCGACAGCTACACAACACAATACAACAAGAAACCGCTGATGTAGATTATAGTAAGTGCACTGTTTGAATGAACATTTTATTTCTGGCAAATCTACCTGCAAACTTACCCCAAATTTCAGAATAAAAGTCTGGAATGAAAAGCACATTAAGTTAAAGTGAGCTAAACATTCATATCTGCTACTGGCATCTTATTACTAATGTAACTCCTCGCTTTTGAGCCTTTTTATTCCCAGTAATAGCTATTAAATTGATCTCTTCACCCTCACAATTGGACCACGCTGTGCTGCACTCACGCATCTGTTGTCATAGAAACAGCTTTGCGCCGTATTATGCTATTTTACCCAAAGGAGCAATGGTTTAGACAAATGATGAGATTTTAAACTTTATTACACAAAGGTGGTGGATTTCAATGCCAAGCGGGTGATTTGTAGAAACTGCGGTCTTTGGCGTCTCGTGAAAATTTGTGGCCTGCTGCGTTTTTAGCCTGCCAGCTTTCCTCATCCAGCTGCAGTGACGTAGCTCAGGCTCTCCCATCCTCCTGATCGTCCTCTGCTTCACCTCCCGCACTGACCCATTGTGTTTTCTGACTAAACACATTTTTTCAATACGCTGCATTTACACGTGCCACAGCTTCTCTTTTTTCTATTTCCCCGTCTCTAATAGTGAATTGTGTTGGTGCCTTGCAGAAAGTCCAGCTTTCATTAAACTGCTTCTATTTCATAATTCTTATGTCAATAAAAACAAACAGGGTGCTATTGATTTTATTCCTGGTTCAAACTGCCCAACCCCATCTCCAATGTGTCTTTTATGGTTATCCCAGACAGCCAATAACAACATACAGAAAACTGCTGCATCAGTTTAATGGCTGTTTACAGCTTGTCTGTTGCTCAGCTGAACTGGATGTCATTTTAGGGGGAAAGAGAGAACACGAATGGGAGATAGATAAGTGAACAGGTTCATTCGACCCTTGTGATCATAAACAAACAGCTTTTTCTATGTAGCTGTTAAAGGATTTAGGTTAAAACTAACAACTACACAGTTAAAGAAATGCTTTCAAAAAGCGTTTGAGAGACAGTTTTCCTCACTGGTGGATTAGATTTTGATTTGGTGATGCTACATGTCTGGTAGGTGTGAGATATTCTGTCCTAACCTCACAAGAGCACAGGAGCAGTAATCAAACCTACCTGTTTGTCTTTATCGTCTGTCCTTTACTGTTATTGCTCACGGTGCTTCTTACAGTTCAGTGTGTCTCCTCTCAGTTTAAACTCTGATTCCCCAACTCATGAATCTCTAAATTGAAGTTCTACTTGGCAGTGAGGTTAAACTAAAAACATGATCATAACAAACACACTAACGCACCATGCCAGCACAAATCAAGATGCACAGTCACAATGCGTTTGTATTTTGAAGTATTCCTCTTTAATCGCTTCTTTCATCACCAACCATTTTCTTGTCACGACTAAAGTAGATGGAACTGCTTCTTTTTACTTTTCCTCTTTAAACCAATAAATGGAAAACTTACTTCGATATGACTTTATGGCAACAAACAGTGATGAAACAGATGAAACTGATAGATGCCACTGTAGTTTCATCCAGGCCAGACATCTGAGGGTATTTGATCTGCAGTAAAAAATGGTTTAATGTTTGTCTTTTAACTGACAATAAATGAGCTATCTGGCCTTCTGCAGATTTATTTCTCTCCATGTTGACCCGGCCAAATCGTTGGCTTGCCTGTCTGGCAGTAAACAAGACATGATTATGAATATGAATTTGAGCTCATCCGCTCTTTCTCATTTGGGGCTGTTTCCCAGTCAGTAATTAAGGCTCCCACAGGTCTAATTATCTCAGACAAAGCAAGAGAGCTCTACTCGTCTTCGTTGCCAAACACTTGCAGTGCCAGCTGAGTGAGACCTGTTAGTACCCAGTAACCGTGAAGGTGGGGGTAAATCCACTATTGTTACATGTGTAGCGTAGCATTTATGTTAAAGGGAGAAAAACAGTTCGTACACTGAACGTTGGAGGAAAACACAATGAGGTGATTTAGAAAGTCAAAGGAAAAACAGTCACTCAAAGGGAAAAGCAGCAGCTGTGTGCTGCAGATTTCTTTCAGTAAAATGAAATTTTCTTACTGAATTCATTGTTAGTCGGATGACTCTGCTGATGGGACAAATCCACATAGGATGGCATAGAAAGCTATTACAGAAAATAACCAGGATGTTCAAGATCAGTATGTTGAGTTTATCAGGAGAGCTTGGTAGTTGCTGTGAATGATGTTTGCAAGGGCTTAGCTGCAAGGTTTGCTCAGTTTCAGCACCACGGACAGCTCTTTGACTGATTCCTCTGGAAAAAGCCAAATGCTGATTTTATCATTGGAAGTGAGGGTTGCTCTTCAGCTCTTCGTGTATTATAGTCATGTCATTATAGGAAGATTAAAAGGGGCCAGTCAGTGGATTATAGAAACAATAGCTTTTTTTTTTTTTAGCAGAGGATTCATGCTTGTATCGAAACAGGCCAGGAGATGTCCCGCAGTCTTTCTTAGGATTGCCTAAGGTGTAATGAGTCATATATTTAGGAGATGAGTGGTGAGAAAATGGTGATAATAGGAATGTTTGCCTTTTATGCACCGAAGCCCAAAGATTGTTGTTTGCTGAGGTGTGTCAGGTGTTTTGTTATCAGTGCAGGCTGTGAGCACTGGAATAGCCCAGTAACATAAAACTCCAACATAAGTGTTTTTTTTTCTCTCCCTGCTGCCATCACTGTTTTAACCCTCTCGAGGCAGGCGTTGCCGATTTGCAACAGTTAAAAACTAACAACCTGATTACCCCACATAAATATTTTACTTTTTTTACTCAGAAGTACCACTGCAGGACTTGGTTGTGCATTAGCAACAAAAGAGTTAATTTGAGCCTGAGAGGGTTAACCCCAGCATAGGGTTTAAGATACATACCTGTTTCCACATGTTACATAACACTGAAAGGGTGTAAAGTGTTCTGATGAGCAGCAGCAGGATATTATCCTGTCACTAGATTAAAGCCTTTACTATGTTCAAATCAAACCCCAGTGGGAGGTGGTGGGAGGGATGTAGAGGCCTAACTTAATAAATTGCTTATGAAGAATTATGTGAGTGAGTCTCATGCCTAAAACGTGAATCTTTTTCTTTGATTCCATTGGATGTGATCAGCAAAGTTAGACTTGTAGAGTTCGTAAAAGCTCTAATTAATCAAGTGGTAACATTTTACTTTACTTTTCCTTTAGTGTTAACGTCTTGCATGATTCTGAGTGAAATAGACTAGTAAAGAAAGCAGAGACTTGAGGGATTTGACGGTCGAACAAATATAACAAGCAAGATCGTTCTTCTTGGTTTAAATTGATATCTGCTAATTTTCCATCTATTTACACTCACTGGACACTTTATTAGATTAACCTGTTCAACAGCTTCTTAACACAAAGGTCTAATCAGACAATCACATTGCATTTTGGTGTGTAGACAGGGTTAAGATGAGCCACTGAAGTTTAAACTGAACATCAAAGTGGGGAAGAAAGGTGATTTGGTGTCAGCTAAAAACATGAAATTGAGGCTATGATTCATATAGGCTCACCAAATTTGGAC